ATGAATGATCACAATGATTTCAGATAATAACATGTGCTATGAAGAAAATAAAATAGGGCAATGTGATTGGGGGAGGGAGGGAGCAAACACGTTAGGTGGTAGGAAAGCCACACTGAGAAGGCGACACTTGAGTTGAGAATCGAAAAAGAAGAAGTTGCTGGCCTAAAATGCTGGTTAAGAATATTCCATACGGAGGGTAGAGCAAGTGCAAAGACCCCAAGATAGATAGGAGCTAGGCATGTTCAATAACAGGTCAGTGCAGTTGGATAATGATGACTGAGGGGAGGAGACTGAGAGCTGAGCTCAGAGATGCAGGCAGAAGACAGATCATTAGGGTCCAGGGGCCAAGGTAAGGAGCTTGGATTTTATTCTACAATGGGAATACTTTGGTGGGATTTAATGAGACTGGCATCATCTGATTTCCATTTTAAACACTCAGCGTGTTGTAGAGAATGGATTACGAAGGGGGTGGGGGTCAGAGTGGAGAGCAGAAGACCCGCTAGGAACCACTGTGTTCAGGCAGGAGATGATAGCTGCATGGACTAGGGTGGGTTCTGTGGAAGCAAATGGAAATTCTCTGAAGGAAGAGCCAGCAGGACCTATGGAAAGACTGGATGTGGGGTGTATGGAAAGGGAAGAATAAAGGATGATGTCTGGGAGTTAGATTTAGCAAGTGGGTGCATTTACAGAACCATTCTCGACTTCTTTGCTTTCTTTGCTAGATCCTCCTCTTGTTAGAGCTTAAAATACTGCAGTTCCTGGGGTTCTTGATTGAAGGGTCATTTGTCTTCCCACTTTGTATTTTCTCCCTACGTGATCTCATCAACCCCCTTGGATTCAAGTGTCACTCAAGCCAGGGACCTTGAAACCCCACCCCCTTCCTCATACCCCACATCCATTCCAGTGCCAAGTCCTGGATACTCTACTTCCACTACCTACCACATCTTCCCATTTCTCTGCCTTCACTGTCCCCATTGTACCTTATTTAGACTGCTCCCATATTTATCTGACTGTCCCTTACTTCCCCCATAGCCGCTGCCCCATTAACCCATTCTTCACACAATCACCAATAACTGATCACCCATATGATCACCAGTCTAATTATCCTGCTCCTGATTAGAACACTGGCTTCCCACAGCTCTTAGGGAACAAGTCCAAATCCTTACCACGGCCTGCAAGGTGAGATCAGGCCCCTGCAGCCCCGTCTCACGCCCCTCTCCTCATCATCCTCTATTTTCTAGCCACTCTGGCCACCTTCATGATCCTCACAAACACCAAACTCCTTCCTCTGTCTGGGAACTCTGCACGTCGCCTCTTGTCCTAGAAGCACTCGTACCAGTTTTGGTGCTGCCACCTTTTGCTTGTCCTTAAAGGCCACTTCCTCGTGGAAACCTTCACCATTTAATCCCTAGTAAGCCACTCCTCTTAGCACGAAGACATTATCTGAGTAACTAATAAACTCTGTGTGTGATGCCTGCTCCCCTCTAGACTGAGAGCTTCCAGAGGACAGGGATCCTGCTGACTGTACTCAGCACTTGGCATATACATTGCCTCACATGGCAGACTTGGTACTTGCTGAGCATTTGTTGAGTAAAGTAGAGAGACACTTTCATATGCTAACAGTGCATTTGTTGAAATGACTTCCCTATGAGAAAGAAATGCAAGGATGGTAAAAAAATCAAACATTTTCATTATACTGAGAAGTTTTAAAAACCTATGAAATAACCAGCTTTTAGCCTGGACTAAAGAAGGTAAAACGGAAACTTAACTCATATCCTTTCTATTCTCCAACCCACATAAGGAATACAGTTTAACTCAGGACCCACCAAATAATACTGCTCTGGTCCCTGAGATAGTGGCAACAAAACCCCACTTTTCTGCCCACCTCCATGTGACTGCCAGCCCCAGCTGTCGGAGCCAAACCTTTAAAGGTGTATGATAAAAGGTTTAGTGCTGGAAACTGTAATTAAACTGCTAAAGAGCTAACGAACCTGTTAAAAGAGAAGTGACGAAAAGCAACAACTTACATGTGCCCCAATACAATGCAGAACCCTGCCTAGAGACCCAGTCCTGATGCGAGGGCCCACACACTCACTTCAGCTGGCCTCACTCCCTCTGCGAGTTCATCTCCTGATCCCCTCTTAACACCCAACTTTCCAAGCTGGTTGTTCACTGGTTTCCCCACCCTCTCTTCTATTTTTTTTTTTTTTTTAGTTTCCCTCTTTTTATCTCTTTTTCTTTTCACCCATTCCTTAGATCTTGACACATCTCCTTACCTAATAATCACAAAGAACCGGGCATCTATTTCACTATTAAAGGCAATTAATAAGTGTCGTGTTTCTTATTAAATCTCTCAATGGGCTACTTTAGAAAAAATTGAAAAAAATGTATTTGAATCTTGGCCTTGGAAATTTTTTTCCTGCAGGTCTGTGATTGTTAAGTATTCAAGTAGCTCTTCGACCTTCTTTTCAGCCAAATCATTTATTCAGCCATATGAGGATAAGGAAAGACTGATCAGCCCAAGAAATCATTGACAAAATCAGGCACTTGAATCTGCGACGCGAGATCACTGATCTGTGCGTGCTCAAGCACCTACACAGTCCAACACAGACTGCGTCCAGGTCAACTAAACAGGTGCCCAGTTTACACGTGAATCACTGCAGGGGTGTGGCTGCAGCCCTCAGGGACCACCAACAGCTGCTGCAGGTCTTCCCTGCTAACAGAAGCCAGATTGTGTGTGTCCCACTAGGCGAAGCATGGCCAGTCATGGCAAACCCACTTCTCTCCAACACATATTCACCTCACAGCCTCCCTTGCAGCTAGGAAAACAGGAAAGAAATTCTTCTGGGCAAGGCTTTTTTTTTTCTCTCTAATCAAAACAAAAAGAGTATGCAAAGATAGTTCATCCTCTCACCACCCTCACATTGCCTGCCTTTTATGTGGTTATGTAAAGACGTGATGCCTGGAGCTGCAGCAGCCAGATTACGACTATAAGGGGAAGCTTGAGCACTGCAGAAATTCTGACCCAAAGCTGATGAATATACCGTGGGAATGGCTACTTCAGACATCTTAAGTGAAATAGTAAGTACCTTTTTGCTAAAGTCACTATTAAATCAGTATATTAACTATGTCTTTTACTTTCTGTATTCTGAAGGACTGCCCCTCCCAGGGTTAGCCAACACCTGGGGATACTAAGCAACTCAGCCATGAGTGTGCCTTCCAAATGCAAACCAACCAATCCAGAGCCCACAGCCCCATGATCTCCTTTGTGGGAGCTCTCACACTCCAGGCCACCATCCACCTGCCCTAATCACCAGGTATCAGACAACTAGGGGCATCCTCTGTGCCCCAGAACCTGCTGAAGTTATTCAAATCAGCCCATCCTAAGCCTGCTTACCCTGCCTCATCCATTCCTTCCTGTAGAAACAAAATAAAGGCTCTTGCCCACATCTTCCCCCCTCTGCCTCCTGACTGACCCTGGTGCTGCTCCCCAGTGTAGCCCTGCATGGCCTGCCCCCTCCTTTGAGGAACTGTGGGTAACAAACTATCTTTCAATGCCAATCATCTGTTAATCTGTTTGCCTTGCCATGTCTCAAATTTTCTATTAATTCACTGTATTTTAGAACACTCAGGGAGCAAAATGCCTCCAACTGATATAATCTGCATGACTCTCAATCCAATTAAAATCCTACAAACCTAGGTAACTTTATCTTTTCCCAGAAAAATAATGCTAGTAGTAATCAACCTACCCACACTAAAGCCAGTTTCAAGCCTCTGGTGAGAACATTCAGATGATACTCTTGATTCCAAAATACACTGTACTGTAGACCAGTTATTCTTAAAACAGTGCTTCTCGGTACAAAAGAAAGGAGGTGGGTCATAGGCAGGCCTGGCTGCAGGCCCCCCCTTGGAACAGCTCCTGGAGTCCCACATTAGACGTTTATTTGATTAAAGGGTTTCGTGTGTAAAGCAATTTTGCAAACTCTCCCTTTAGACTGTTCAGGTTCCCCTTGCTGAAATTCCTGAAATACACAGAATTATTTCCATAGACATTTTCCAAAGCTGTGAACATTTTATTTCTACCACACATAAGTGATTCCTGCTGGGAATATTAAGGAAGAAGAAACCAGAGCCGGGGAGAGAGAATGGAATGACTGACGAAGCGAGCAGAGTAGGTTCCTGTCCTGCAGCATGAGATGGGGTGAGGTATCAGGGCACATCCCACGGCAGTCAATAGAAATGAAGCCAGCGTAAGCTGGGAGGGCTCAGGGAGACCACACGGAAGCAGAAGCCAACACTCCAGGTCAGAGAAACCAGACAGACACCAAACAGGTCGATTATAAACTCAAGGAGGGAAAAAAACCTAGATTGCATCTCCCCTCTAATAAAGCGAAGTGAAAAGTCTAAGAATATCTTTTCATCTTCAGTGGAGTTGAGGGGGGTGCGGGTCAAGAGGGAAGTAAGCTGCCACGATTATTTACCCCAAAGACTGTTCAACGGAATTATGTTATGCAACGCTTGTCATTACTAATGTAGGTTCCATACAAAGACATTGAGGACCTTTATTTAGCAGACTACTGTTTCGTTAGAGTGAAAACAATTTTCACAGGGGCCTTTATAGGTCACTTATAACCTCCAAAACCACAGTATAATTTTTTTCCATGAAATCTTAAGATACTATTGACGCAAATGGGATCTATGAGTGAGATTTGAAGCAGGTAAGAGAAAGGGTCAAGCTTCCTAAAGGTGGGATCTCAAGCAGCCCCTGCAATCGTCCCGGTCACCCTGATCTGGGAGGACAAGGAGAGGGAGGCACCTTTCCTCAGACGGGGTTAAAGGGCAGGAAGAGGTGGAAGGGGCCACACTACAGAAACACACCACAGGTCAGATGGATTTCTCAGACATAGAAATGGCTGTATAAATAGCCACACGGCCCAGGAGTGGGACCCCTGTCGTTAGGAGGTACGTTTTAAGCTGCCCAGGGCGAGGAGGGCACTTACGGAGCGCTTGTCAGCCTCTGCTCCTTGCTGGCCCTGCAGACACGCAGTGAGCTTCTTGTGCGTGCTGTGGGAAACCTGCTTCACCAGCTCCAGGCGCTTCTCCACCTGCAGACAGAGCAGCAGGTCGTGTCACTGCGTGAGGGCAACATCAGGAGTGGGGTCATCAGTCTGGACAATCGTGGGAAAAAGTCTGAGCCATGTTTCTGCAGAGACAAGTACTGCCAGGGAGAAACAGCCAGCGCTGGAGAGCTGCAGCGGGGCGATCGCAGACTCTAGGACTCTCCGCTGACAGGGCAGTGAAATGACTTGAAATGTCTCCTGAAAAATCTTACCTGAACCGGTATTCAAAATGCCAGGTACTATCGTAAAGGATAAAAAGCCATGTCTCTAAATAGATTGCATGAGGAGTAGTCTGAGCAGTTTAAACAGCATTGGGCATGGCTTAGTTTTAAAAGGGGAGACAGCTTGGGCATCTACGAGCTAAGGGCCAGCAACAATCTTACCTGAAGAAGGTCTTCACTCAGAACTTCAGTCTTTTCTGCCCTAAAGAGAAAATTGAGAAACAATCAGTAAGAAAACTAGGAACTTAGCTTCACACTTGTTCCTCATTCTCTTCACTCATGGAGAGATTAGAAAAACAGAGACATTAGTAGCAGAAATTTCTAACAGGAGATGATACAAACAATACTGGAATTTACCAGGAACCTTAAGTTACTGCACTCCAGCAAAAACATGGCAAACGAGATACTCTGAAGGGTCCCCTGCTGCAGACGGGCACTGGATGAAGGACAGCAAACCCACTTTGTTTGTTTCCAGACATTTTCTTTTTTAATTAACAGAATTAAGCAGGTTCCCACACCCATACTTCTTGGCCTCCCCCCAAACAAATAAGCAAAGGTCACAGAAATCTGAGTAGGGATCAATAAACAGCAAACAAAGAGACAGCACTGAGTCCCGGTGACAAACGCAAATGCCACCACTGAGATCTGCACCCAAGTGTCAGCCCCGCCAGAAAGCGGGGGGTTTGAACCCGAGATTAACATGTCGAGGGTAAGAACTTGGATGCTGGCTAAAGTGGTCCCAACCTGTGAGCAACCCTGCCTCACATCTGGGAGAAGGCAGATCTTCTTTGGAGCAAAGCAATTCATTGCCTGTGCATTCTCAGAGATAAGGTTCAGTCAGAGATTTCTCTCACACTGGTGTTTTTTTTTTCTCTCTCTCTCTCCTTTCTTTTTCACTCTCACACATACAACCTGCAAATTCACATGAAAACAAATCACCAAGATTAAGAGTACAGAGAAAGAAGAAACAACATGTATAGAGCCTGAAGAACTTCACAGATTGGAATTATCAAAGACTGCAACATATGCACGAAATATTTAAAAACAAATGATACATTAAAAAATCAGAGGACATTAAAAAATGAGAGGACTTCTGCTTCTGGGAAGATGGAGTGAATGTGTTTTACCTATTCCTCTAAGTACAAACAAAATCTCAGGAACTTACATATAAAATGAACATAAGAAAATTCTGAAAGGTAGAGAGAAGGCAGAATGGCTAAGCACCCACAGATCCAAGGAATAGCATGACAGGGAATTTTTGCTTCAAATATTACAGACCTGGAGCTTAAGAAGCTGGTGACCTGAAATACCAATGGATGCAGACAAAACAAGGCCAACAAAGCCTGGTCTCTGTGGCCAAAGGACCAGGAAAGGTGCAGCTTGGAAAGACAGAAAATCTGTAGATGATAACTGCTCACTCCAGCCAAACACCACAGAAAAAACTGTTGTCCTACCCCACTCACACCAGCAAAGGCTGAGTAGACAGCCTACACTTCCACCCTTGCCAGGCTGTACACTCAACCTACCCCCCTCCCCTCAACCAGTGCAGCAGTGTCAGAAAAGGATGAGCATGGAGCTAGGACATTATCACTACTGGGCAGTGACAATGGAAACCACATGGGTAGCCTGGACATCCAAACTCACCTGGTGGTGCCAAAGAATCCCGCCCCCTGCCCACAGGGGTGGTGTCACAGGAGGCCCAGTGGAGAGACAAACCCACAGGACTTTCACCAACACCCAGTGGTAACAAGGCCACCCTCTTCCACGTTATCCATGGAAGCCAAGTGAGGAGCAATAACAAGGCACTCCTACCCCTCCCACCCAGGGAGGTGTCAGTGAAGGCCTAATGGAGAGCCAGAATTTCCACTCCCATCCAGCAGTGACAAAGCAGAATTCTCCCTTCCCCTGCTGAAGTGGTATCAGAGAAACCCAGCCTAAAGAGAAAGTTTAAATAAAACCCAGAGTCTCATAATATAATACTCACAATATCTGGGTTTTAATAAAAAAATTACTCATCATACCAAGAACCAGAAAAATCTCAAATTGAATAAAAAGACAATCAATAGGTGCCAATACCAGGTTGACAGAGATGTTAGAATTATCCAACAGTCTTTAAAGCGTTCACTATAAAAATGCTTCAATGAGCAATTATGAACATGCTTGAAACAAATGAAAAAATAGAAAGTCTCAGAAGAGAAATAGAAGATAGAAAGAAGAACCAAACAAAAATTTTAGAGCTAAAAAACGCAATAATGTAAGTTAAAAAAATCTCAGTGGATGGGTCAACTGCAGAATGGAGGGGGCAGAGGAAAGAATCAATGAACTGGAAGAAAGCACAATAGAAATTTTCCAATCTGAACAACAGCCCAAGTAGACCAAACAAACAAATAAACAAAAACAAACCCTCAGGGACCTGTGGGACTATAACAAAAGATTAAATATTTACGTCATTAGAGTCTCAGAAAGAGGAAAAAAAGCAGGCAGGGCTGAAAAAATGCTCAAAGAAATAATGGCTGAAAAGTTTCCAAATTTGGCAAAAGACATAAATACACATATCAAAGAAGCTGAGCAAATCCCAAACAGGATAAAGGCAAAGAAATCCTCACCAATCCTCACAGTCAAACTTCTGAAAACTAAAAACAAAAAAGTCTTGAAAGCAGCAATAGAGAAATGATACCTTACTAATAGGAGGAAACAATTAGAATTACAGCAGATATCTTATGAGAAACCATGGAGGACAGAAGGAAGTGGCATACCATTTTTAAACCACTGAAAGAAAAGAAATGCCAACCTAGAATCCTATATCAAGTGAAAATATTCTTCAGGAATGAAGGAGAAATAACAACACTCACAGATAAAGGAAAATTAAAATTTGTCATCAGCAGGCTTGCTTTAAAGAACTGCTAAAGGAAGTTCTAGACATAAAAAAAAATGGTAAAAGAAAGAACCTTGAAATATCAGAAAGAAAGAACATGGTGAGCAAAAATGGTAAACACAAGTCTTTCTTTCTCCTCTTGAGTTTTCTAAATTGTTTGATGGTTGAAGCAAAATTTATAATAATGTCTGATGTGGTTCTAAATGTATGTAGAGGAAATACTTAATATAATTATATTATAATTGGGACATAAAGGGAAGTAAAGTTTATAGATTTCACTCAAACTAGTAAAATAATAACATAGTAGATTGTGATAAACTATGTACATATAATGTAATACCTAGAGTCACCATTAAAAAAGCTACACAAAGAGATACACTCAAAAACACTACAGACAAATCAAAACGTAGACTAACCTACAGAAAAAAAAAGAACACAAAGCAATAAAAAACAGAAAGAAGAAACATAAAACAAAAAATAAAATGGCAGACTTAGATGTCAACATATCCATAATTACATGAAATGTAAACAGTCTAAATATATTAATTAAAATACAGAGATTGGCAGAGTGGATTAAAAGCATGCTGTCTATAAGAATCTCACTTCAACTATAATAATATAAGTAGTTTGAAAGTAAAAGGATAGGAAAAGACATCATGTAAACATTAATCAAAAGAAAGCAGGAGTGGTTGTATTAATATCAGATAAGTAGACTTCAGAACAAAGAAAGTGATCAGAGACAGAGAGGAGTATAATATAACAATAAAGGGGTCAATCCACCAAGAAGGTATGGCGATCTTAAATGTATATGAACTAAACAACAAAGCTGCAAAATACGTGAAGCAAAGCTGACAAAACTGGAAAGAGAAACAGACAAATCCACAATCACAGTTGGAGACTTCAACATCCCCTCTCTTAATGATTGACAGACCAGCTAGATTAAAATATATATATATCAGCAAGGATATATAAGAACACAACAATTGCATTAACCAATAGAATTTAACAGTTTATAGAACACTCCAACCAACATCAGCAGAAGACACATTCTTTTCCAGTGCTTACGGAACACATACCAAGATAGACAACATCTGGGGCCATAAAACAAATCCCAACCAATCTGAAAGAACTGAAATCATTTAGAGTGTATTCTCTTATCACAGTAGGATCAAAACAGAAATCAATAACAGAGAGAAGAAAATAACCAAACACTTGAACACTAAACAAAACACTTCTAAATAAACCACAAAACAAAGAGAAAGTCTCAAAGGAAATTAAAAAAATACTAAACTGAATAAAAGTAAAAACGCAACATATCAAAATATTTAACACGGCCAAAAGTGTTAATGCGCTGGGAGGAAAATTTACAGCTCTACATCTATATATTAGAAAAGAGAAACATTCTCAAATGAAAAAGCTAAGCTCCCACTGCAACAACCTACAAAAGGAAGACCAAAAATAAGTCCAAAGCAAGCAGAAGGAAGGAAATCATAAAGGGCAGAAATGAATAAATTTAAAACAAAAAAAATAGTTGAGAAAAATCAATAAAATGAAGAGCTGGTTCTTTGAAAAGATAAGTACAATCAAAAAAACCTCTAGCATGATTGAAAAGAAAGAAGAAGAGAAGATATAAATTATCAATAATGGGAATAAAGGGGCTAGCCCGGTGGTGCAGTGGTTAAGTGCGTGTGCTCCACGGCGGTGGCCCAGGGTTCGCAGGTTCAGATCCCAGGTGCACACCAATGCATCGCTTGCTAAGCCGTGCTGTGGTGGCGTCCCATATAAAGTAGAGGAGGATGGGCACGGATGTTAGCCCAGGGCCAATCTTCCTCAAGAAAAAAGGGGAGGATTGGCATCAGATGTTAGCTCAGGGCTAGTCCTCCTCACAAAAAAAAAATAATAATAATAATAATGGGAATAAAACAGAAAATATCACTACAAAATCCTATAGATTTCAAAAAGATGTCTTTGAACAACTATATATACGTAAATTTGACAACTGACATGAAATGGACTCATTATTCAAAAAGCACAAACTACCTAATACACATACAAAATATAAATACATCACAAAAACACATTATTCCCAATATAAGGCAAATAATGTGAATAGTCCTATAACTATTAAGAAATTGAACATGTACTACTAAAAGTCTCAAAAAAGATCTCGAGACCCAGAAAGCTTTACAAGAGATTTCTACTAAATATTTAAAGAAGAATTAACACCAATTCTACATAATCTCTTCCAGAATACAGAAGAGAACACTTTCCAATTCATTTTACGAAGCTAGTACTCCTTTGATACCAAAACCAGACAAAGAACAGTA